TCACGGAACAAACATCTGTAATCTCGTTTTTAGTTAGCAAACCAAAGTTTAGCCAAAACGGGCTAAAGAAAATATTCGAGAAAATAATATGGCGGAATAATATTTTAGTGTCAAAGTGTCAAATGTTTGTTAAAAGTTTATAACAAATATCATGTCAAAGTGCGGTGTACAATAATGCGGAACATCAACAAATATGCGAAAATGGTGTATTTCCTGCAGAAAATGACGTAATATGTAAAATGATTAGTAAAATAACTGGAGCCCGGGCTGAGCACTGATGGTGAGAACTAGGTGAATAAGTTTTATCAATATGTATACAACAAAATACTCGCATCTATTACTAGAACTTCTGATATAATTTTTTATTGTAGCTCAATAACTGAGACATTTAACAGTATCAATGCTAGGAATTTTAAGGTTATAAATACAAGACACCCGTCTTACTAAATCCCTTTCTGGAAGCTATGTTATTGAAAAATTATTCTTTTTATAACACTTTTTTGTATTGTTCTGGCAAAACTGAAGATGGAAAACCGTCCCTGAAAGGTGAGTTATTTAAAATTTTTCATACTACAAATTAAGTTCGTAGCTATATTTTTTTTTCAGCAGAGGTTCTTAACTCAAGATATAAGCACTGCAGAGACCAGATATGCAAAAAACAAAATTTATACCATATAACAAATGTGTTGAGAAAAGAAGTCAGAAGGATAAATATACAAAAAAATATTGAGGCAGAAGTTACAAGAAAGTGTCAAATGTGCTGACAATTTTGCTTATCTCCCAGCAACATTAAATAAGAGGGCTCGTAATTTTATATTAAGTCAACTAAGAGAACATACAAAGAAGCGAAAAGGAAGAAAATTTACACTTGATGATAAAATTCTTGCTTTAACTCTGCATACAATTTCTCTAAGAGGTTATTACTTTTGGAGAAAAATATTTGTTTTGCCTGCTCCTCAAACATTGAGAAAGTTGCTCTCAGCAATTCCTTTGTATAGTGGTATTAATGAGACCCTTTTCCAAACATTGGGTTTAGCTATGGCACAGAAAAAATATGTGAATAGCAAAAACTGTATTCTGATGTTTGATGAAATATCATTATCATCTGCATTCTTTAACGACTGTAAAAACGATCATATTGTTGGTTTTCAGGAACTGGCAAATGGTAGAGAAAGTTTATTTTCTGATCATGCTCTTGTCTTTTTCAAATCAAATAGTTGATACTTGAACTGTACGCAATGTTCATATTTTTTGTGATTGTTTAATGAATGTGTTTTTTTTTTTATAAATCTATAGTAATAAATAATGAAGTTGTTAAATGTTTTAGCAAATGTAGAAATTGTAAATAAGTGGCTACTTCATGGAGTATATTTTGCTAAACAGTTTATTTCTGTTTATTATTGGTGATAATACATTTAACAGATGTCGAGAAGTATATAGATCATGAATTGTACAATAATTTACCGGATAACAGCAGAATAGTTTGCAAATGACATCCCCATATAGTAATTTATTTTAGTAAGCTGTTGATATGCTTTTCAGATAAAAGTAATTTTGGTTTTGTTATGAGAACATAATGATTTTTTTTTCTTTGTGATAATGATGATAATGATATTTTGATCAACATTTAAAAGCAGATTAACGCAATGTGCAGAAAAGGTACTCTTACTCTTCTTTTATCTATGCACTGACGTTTCTTAGTAACCAACATAAAACATTTGAAAATACTTTTTTATCGGCTCACTAGCGCCAAATCTGCGACTACAAATGGACCCCTAAGTATTCCTTCTGAACGAGGATTTTGTTCTAAGTGAAAAGGCCCTGGTCGTAGTGTAGCTAGCGTAGGGAACATACATATAGAGAACTTAGTGTAATTATAGCGAATATAGTAATTAAGAGAACATTGTGTTTTAATATAGAGACGATTAGAGAGTTAACAAATCAGAAGTGGGATTACTCGAGGATTATTCAAGGATTAATTTAAAGACATTATTGATATATACAGTGACCATAACACCCATAACACGTTACAAAAACAATTATAAACATTGTGTGCTACACGTTTTCTTTTATCGACATGAGTGAACCGCGAGAGTTGAACCAAAGTGATGTTAGTATCGCAGAAGAAATTTTGTGACTGAGGGCTAACTTTAGAAGAAATAATCAAAACTATGATGCTGGAAAATAGACGCCGCGATGATGTTATGATGAAGATGCTGTATACGATTGCGAGCGGTAACACATCAAAGGCTACAAGCGGACTGGCGATTATGCCAGAATTACTAAAAAGGATAAAAGATTTCAAAGGAAATCCGGACGAAGCAGGCGCATGGATGAGTGAAATAATAAGTATTCAACTATTGCATCAATTACCCGACGCATATATTTTGGAAATAGCTCGAACACATCTCCTCGGCGGAGCGAAGCATTGGTACGACGCGAGGCGACATCTATTAGTTACGTGGGCGGACTTCAAGAGTGCATTCAATGATACGTTTGCGTCTATGGAGACGACAACCGAGAAATGGGTTCGGATGATGGATAGGGTGCAACAACGAGGTGAACCCATAGACCTTATACAATTTCATGGACTGCTAGTCCCCATACATTTCTCAAGTAAAAAAGTGTCAAAAGATGTTCTATGGTATGAGGGCAAACGAGGGTAATTTTGCGGCCGAGATATGTCAAACTCAATCGCTTGAACGTCAAATGAAAGTCCGTGTGTTCGAAATTGTTGGGAAAATATTATATAATATACAATTTATGTTAAACTAATGAATGTAATGAACTATTTATATATTTATTTATTTATTTTAGTTATACAAAGTGTTTAAGGAAAATAAGAAAAAAAAAAATAAAAAAATATTTTACATATTATAAAATTCACTGAAAATAAGAACAGTTGGCTAGAGCTATTATGGGAAATTAGAAAGCAATAATGAAATACTTGTTTAAATGTAATATATTTATTATTGGTGTTTAAAAAGCACAATTTTTGTGTGAAAGTGGCGTACATATTTATCAACTTTGCTTTTTTTATGTTCTTCATGGTGCATTCTAATTGTTAAATACATTTTTGCGACAAAGTTGATAAGGTCATGATAGTGCTGGACAAATTGCTGGAAATGGCTTGATCTAAAAAAAATGTGCAAATCCCAAGTCATTCAACTTTCGGTGAATCGTGCTTTCATATGAACTTTTGTACATTAAATTTGAAGAATTTCGAATTAGAGTTTCTATATATAAACATAATTTAAACATTTCATCGGAAGGATATGAAAGATATCCTCGATTTTTTACATCGATGAATGTCGAATTTCCCGGAATACTTGCAAAGCATTCAGAACAGGTTTTACTGCAATCAGAAACTTTACCACAGACGAAACACATTTTAGAAGACACTTTACTTTTAACAATTTTACAACAGGTATATTTTTATCCTCTTTTAGTTTAAAAACCCGAGCGATCAAACATCACGTGAACCCAAGTAACTGTAAAGTTTAAGCGATCGAGTGCATTCGACTAATCTCGGTAAAGCTCGTGTTCGTATTTGACATATCTCGGCCGCAAAATTACCCTCGTATGCCCTCATACCATAGAACATCTTTTGACACTTTTTATGCGCTCAACTAGCAGTCCATGTATTGTATAAGGTCTATGGGTGAACCACTTTATCAATACTTCCACGATAAAGTTAGATTGTGCAGTGTTCTAGGATTGGAACTAGCAGAAATTAAAGAGCAGATTCTAATTGGATTAAAATCAAAGAATATGTGTGACGTTATGATGGCGAGAACTCACTACAGTACCGATGACTTATTTAATGATATGAATGCCTACAAAAGGATTGAATTTAAAAGAAAAGAGAGGAACCCCATACACAAAGAGAACCAAGTAATGACAAGAGCGTCATTACCTACGGAGACAGCGAGAACGAGAGGAATTAAATCTGAATACAATCGAAAGGAATACTTGCCAGCTAGAGACAGCAGTGACAGACCACTATGTTTCAAATGTAAAACATATGGCCATGTATCAAAATATTGTGATCGAATCAAATCAAAGAACAAACGCACTGTAGAAAAGTCTAATGTACAGACGAATGCCGACATGAATAGAGAGCAAAAAGAAAACCTAAAATACTTTTATGACGCTTATATTTCAGGTAAACAGATTAAAAGTTATATTGATTTAGGCAGCCAGTGCACACTTCTGAGAAAAAGTGACGCAGATGGTTTAGGAATACAGCAACATCACAATCAGAGGTTTTGGCTGCGGAGAAGTTCGACCGATAGGTAGTTGTACCATAGAAATTAAAGTAGACGAAGCTAAGGCAGTGACTCCTATATATGTTGTGAAAGATGAATGCCAATCAATACCATTACTAATAGGACAACCATTCACAGAACAAAGACACATTGTGATAGTTAGAAGAGGAGGTGTCTTACGAATCTTCGAAGACAAAGTTAGTGAAATGGATGATTGCCTGAGGGATTTGAAAGTGCCGGACTTACCACCACCGAAAACTAACCTGTGGGCTAAAGAAACGTACGTTATTCCGCCTAAGTATGTAGGGTTTATTAGTGTATATACTGATAGAGACACAAATGCTGATATGTATATAGAGACCAATACAACAAGAGACAACAGATGTATTCCAAGATGTGTAGCGTCAATGAGAGGGGTGAGACCATCATACCGATTTTGAATATATCAGATAATGAAACAATGGTTGAAAAGAATTATAAAATTACTAAATGTGACAAGTGCCATGAAAGTGAACAAACTCAGGAAAAATCAGATGTAAGAGAACTAACAACGGGTACAATAAAATTAAATGAGGACATACCGGAAGAGAGTGGAATAAAATTATATAACTTATTAGATGAATACAAAGATTGTTTTGCCAGTAAATTAACAGAGTTAGGATGTACAAACCAAGTGAGCTGCAAAATTGAAACAATAACTGAAGAGCCCCGATTACATTCAGACCATATAGAATGAGTTATGGAGAAAGAGAAAAACTTAGAGTGATGATACAAGATCTGAAAAACGCAGGTATTGTCGTGGATTCGACATCAGACTTTGCAAGCCCCATCTTAATCGTGAAGAAGAAGACAGGAGATGAAAGAATCTGTATAGACTACCGTGCACTAAACAAGATTACTAAAAAGATGACACATCCCTTACCATTGATTGACGACCAACTAGACAGATTGGCAGGAAATGAATACTTTACAACATTAGACATGGCATCAGGATATTACCAGATACCTATGGATAAACAATCACAGAGAAAGACGGCATTTGTAACGCCTGATGGAATGTTTTAATTCACCAGAATGCCATTTGGTATAGTCAATGGGCCAGCGATATTCCAAAGGTTGGTTAATAGTTTACTGGGACCACTGCGGTTTACAATAGCTTTAGCATATATGGATGATATATTAATTCCGAGTAGAACTGTCGAGGAAGGTATCATGAATCTGGAAGAGGTTTTAAAAGTGATCAGAAAAGCGAAGCTAAAATTGAATATGAAGAAGTGCTACTTTTTACAAAAAGAAATAGAATACCTTGGGTTCAAAATTTTGAAAATGGGGGTGAAACCAGGAAGAAAGAAACTAAATGGAGTACTAAACGTACACGAGGTTCGTCAATTCTTGGGGTTGACTGAGTACTTCAGGAGATTTATTCAAAACTATGCGACGATATCCAAACCAATTAGCAACCTAATATAAACAGATGCAGAATTCAAATGGGCAAATGAACAACATGCGGTGTTTGAAAAATTGAAGAATGAACTTGTCTCTACTAAAGTATTAGCATTATTTGTTGCAGATGCTTATACAGAGGTGCACACAGACATTAGCAGTGGTATGGACAATGGATAAGTTAAGAATGTACCTAGTTGGGAGAAAATTTATTGTAGTGACAGATTGCAATGCATTGAGAAGTACATTCACTAAAAGGAATTTAATACCAAGAATAGGACGATGGTGGCTGAAACTACAAGAATTTGACTATGAGGTGATTCATTGACCAGCAGAGAAGATGAGACATGTGGATGCTCTATCCCGAAATACCATAAATGAAGCTGAAGAGACAGAGTGTGTGGATGGACTTATGGTATTGAATAACTATTTAATAGAAGAAGACTGGTTAACCATAGCGCAGAAAAATGATGAAAAACTGAAGTTTATTATGGGCATTATACAGAAGGGACATTATGCAGGGATCAACAGAGAAGATGATAAAATTATAAAGGAGTATGAGATCAAAGATGGAAGATTAATGACAAAAATTGAGAATCGGTTAGTGTATGTAGTATGTACCAAAAAGAGTGAGGTCACAGATTTTAAGAAGAGATCATGACGATTTGGCACACATTGGACGGGACAAGGTTATAAAAAAGATATCGGAGAAGTATTGGTTTCCTAGAATGCGAAATTATGTGAAGGGATATATAGGAGCATGCATTGAATGCCTATATAGCAAGGTACCGGGAGGCAAGAAACCGGGGAAACTACATTCCATAGACAAAATAGGAATACCATTTCACACATTGCATATAGATCACTTCGGACCGTTTATTAAAAGTAAGGCTGGAAACACCTTCTTAATCATAATCGTAGATGGGTTTACTAAATACACAATTTTTAGAGCTGTTCGAGATACGAAAAGTCATGGAAGTAAGAAGATTTTAGAAGAAGTCATATCGTTCTTTGGGTGCCCAGTGAGAGTAATTACGGACAGAGGCACGTTTTTCACAGAAAAACCGTTTTGAAGATTTTTGCAAGAAAAATGATATTACACACGTGAGAAATGCTACTTCAACACCAAGAGCAAATGGACAAGTGGAGAGAGTAAATAGATTTGTAACAACGGCCTTGGCATCGTTATCAAAAGATGAACACTTTGAAGACTGGAAAAAAGTATTAAACAGTTTCAATGGAGCATTAATAACACATACTTTAATGCAATTAAGACAACTCCATTTCGATTGTTATTTAATTACGAACCAAAGTCAGGCGACTTAGTGAGTTATTTGAGAAGTTCCAGAGCAAATTGAACGCCGACGGTACGAGCATAATGGGGTTACGCGACGAGTTATTGTACGACAGGATGAGGGCGTTACTGAAACAGAGGGAAAAGCAAACGAGACCAGTGTATGATACACCGTGTATCACGTGATGACGGATTTGTCGAAATCTTTGGGTGACGGCAGAACTGAGTGGCTGCAAAAGATTGATGGTCCAAAGTCGCGGCATGAATGGCCGGATAATGTAATATAAGGTAACGAACTAAACCATTTAGCAGATGCGGGACGTGACTGGTATGACACAGAGAAGTATGAAATAAAGTCGTGAGACGACTTTAAAGAAGATTTTAGGCATGCATTCACAGGTATAGAGGAAACTACATCCAAATGGGAACGCTTGAAGAAACGTGTCCAACTGAAGTCAGAAGAGGTCATCACATACTACCATTCAAAGAGGAAACTGCGCCAAGCACTGAACTTTAGTCCCGAGGAGACTAAGCTTATCGGACTGCAAAATATGGATTTGTGCATAGATGAACAAGTATAAGATTTGTGTTACTTAGTGGCAGATGAAAACCACAGCAATGCCAGAGAACTAAGTACGAGCACACTAAAGTATGAAAGGTTAATAGCAGACAGGAAATCAGGAATGGGTGAGAGCGGTGGGAGCCACCACGAGTACCAGCCACAAAGCACAAAGCACAAAGATACGACAGTGAAAAGTGAGAAGAAGAAATACTCTGGGGAGAAGGTATTTAAGTGTTTTAGATGTAAAGGGAGGGGACATCTTGCTCGTGCCTGTCCAGAGTTTTGACCAAAAACTGAACCAAAGTCTCCTAGTGGTGAGGTTAAATGCATCACTCATGGCAAGGACCTATCTATGAGTAAATATCTGAAATTAATAACCATAGATAACAAGGAATTCAAAGCTATGGTAGATGCAGCAGTTCCGAATGTACTATAAAGTAGTCGTTGGTGACTGATACGAAGTACAAGATGCTGCATGGTCCTATAATGATGAAGAGCTTGGGACCGGATCACTTCATGATTGAGTCTCTTGGAGCAATCATAGTGACAACGGAGGTAAACAAAGTCATGGCAAAAGATACACTAACAGAGATAACAAACTCACGTTTATGTACAACGAGAAACATCCCTTTGCGAACATGGAAGTGGTGGGCCTAATAGAACAGAGACTGAGGATAGCCACTGAGATAACACTACCTCTAGGGACAGTAAACTTAGTCAGAGTTAACGGCAGATGAACAGACTGACTTGACTGTATCTGTACTGAACTTCAATGACAAACCTGTACGTTTACCAAAGGGCTTGACGGTACACACGAGGCAAGTTTGCATAGTACAGCGACAAACAACAGAGACATGGGAAACCAACCCAAAGAGGTCGTAGATGAACTGATAAGTGTTTTAAATAATTACAGATCATGCATCTCTAAAGACATCAGGGAGTCAGGTCTAACCAGCAGCGTTGAAATGGACATCAAGGAGATACCAAGCAGCTGACTAGTCAGAGCAAAGACCTAACAAGCCAGCAACTTAGAGAGGCAAGAAATTAGCCGCTGGGGGATGTGGCTACCATCTATATAGCGTGACAACCCAAATTTTAACCTGCATCTATTTGGAGTACTGCATAATTCCTTTACTATATTTTTAGACCTCAATCTCCTAACTAAAAACATAATAATCATTTAATAATAATTTTCTGCAAATGGTATTAGTATATTTAGAATTATACTTACTTGGGCTTTTCACCGAAGTTGCATGGTATTCTTCTCGTCTTGTATCAAATTGATTTTCTGATTCTCTATCAGAATTATCTCCTCATCCTGCACCATAACGTACTCTTGTTTCAATCTGTGAAACAAGAGAATTATTATATGATTGACGGAAAAATTCTTCTTTTGTCTATGAACGGAAAAACGTGTAGTTTGGTACGTTAAATTTTGCCATATTAAACATCGCTTAAATCTTACACAATAAAGTCTCACACAGTTACTTAAAACCGATTCCGCCGCATAATAGAAAAATGTTATGGCAAGGCCATGTTATGAAGAACTTTCCATACTAAATATGGACAAAGCCATGTAAACCATGTGGTTGGTGTGGAGTCAGGCGTATTTCTCAGGTTGTCATATAGAAAACATTACCAAGAAACCGAACAAATGTCAAACTAGTGGGATATCGTGCCTTAAGGCAAATTGCTGGAACTTCCCGTACTAAAAACTAAAAAAAGATTAATTATGTTTTAAACTTTGAAAAAAATGGTTTTTTGAGATATTTTAAATTTTTGAAAAAAAAAACTTTTTTGGAAAAAAAACTTTTGGAAAAAAATGTTTTTTTTTAGTTTGAAATATTTTGGAAATTTTGAACTTTTTTTCAAAGCAATCTCAGTGCTTTAGTTGCATAGAGACGCAATGTCGAAGCGCATAAACGCCCCGTCTTCGTCTAACGGACAAACGATATTACGAGACCCATAGAAATGTAAACAAAATTGATACAGATCATTAAAATCTCCATAAAATATCTGATTTTTTGACCTCAAAATGGCATTTTTTTACCTTTTTTTTTTACTAGATCTCCGAAACCGCTAGACCTGCCTATCCAAAAATTTAATAAGTTCTTCATCTTGTCAATACAAGTAAAATGATTTTTGAATTATTAAAATCGGACGCTCGGTTCTCTTAAAAACTGAGTTATGGTTTTTGGAACTTTTTGCCCTGAATCTTCGGAACAGCTAAGCCTGTCTGGTCCAAAAACTAATCAGCACATCTCCTTATAAATAGGAATCGAATGTTTTTTGAATAATTGAAATTGGTTGAAACGTGTTCCCGAAATTTTAGACAAAAATTTGTATCCGCACACACACACGTACACCTATTTTTGCTAAGGTTTCACATACACACATACATATACATCCATTTTTGCCAAAATGTTCTGAAACCTCTAAATCGTAAATATATATAAAAAATTTTATTTTCGATTTTTTTTGCGATTACTATAATTTGCCCTACGGGAAGTTAAAAAACGATGGATTTCTGGAACAGCTTCATAACATGCGAGTGACATTGCAGTTTATGTGTAAAACATGGCGAGTTATCTCCGAAGAACAAATGTATATTACCGTGTTTTGACATTGAGTATTGCCATGCTTTGATTATAGATGGCTCATATGTGCTCAATTTCAACTACGCTCATTCGTTCATTTCATCGCCGTGCGAATAATCTAATGTGCGAATAACCTATTATAACGAATGTGCGAATAACCCAAGTTTGTAAACGCGTGTTGTTAAATAGTTATGTTTTTGTAAATATTTAATAAATAAATTTAATATGATCACGTGCCACGTTGTTTCAACTAATGAATATTAAATTGCACGTCTTTCTGCAAGTGATGCTCAGGTATGTATGATGATGTACTATATTTATTTATATAATGAAAATGTATAATCATAATATGATGAAAATGTCATCAGTCAAAAACTTTTCAATCAATTCAAGAAAGCATCATAAAGTTCATGTTCTCCCGAGCCTAAATATGCCGGGTTTGTACTATAATATATGATTGTATTTTAATAATAATTATTTTAGAACATGGTGTATCAATGTCAATTCGTTAAAATGATGTAGAGGCAATGACAGATTGTCGAAGGAGAGTAATCTTACCTTAGGTAATTAAATACTATAATAATTATTATGAATAAGGTAAAATAATTTTAAACTTTAAATCAAGCCTTTCTTGTAGTAAATAACTTCCCGTAGGGTAAGTTATTGTAATCGTGCAAAAATCGAAATTGAAAATTTTTGCATTTCTCGACGTTTTGAAGGTTTTTGA